GACAGGTAACCTGAGATGCAATTTTGGAATGCAAACTTTTAGTTCAAATGTACAAGCTCAAACTTAACAAATGTTTAAAATATTTGAGTTTTTCAAATGGTGCCAAAATAAACCATGTCTTTTCTAAAGACTACATATTTAGCTAGGCTCTGGCAATGTAAATCTTTCAACCATTTCAAGTATTTGTTTAAAAGCCTCCCAGAACACGTGGGCTCCCAACAAAACTGAAGAATGAAATTTTCAGAACACTGAAGCTCAACAGCTGACTTATAATCGACCTAATAAGAGAACACTACTTTATCTTTTTGAACTTGTGAATACATTTTATTTACCAATGCATGAGAAGAACAAACAGAGAAAGTCCAGTTCTGCAGACCCGATGTGAAATGTTACAGCGATAAGAGTCAGCCCATGTACTGCTGTGATCGCAGCCGGAGAAACTGCCCAGCAGTGATTTCATGTGCCTCACAGCTGATTCTTGCATGGGAGGCAAAACTTCTGCAGTAGAAGTTAAGAAGAAGAAAATCCAACAAAACCAACAGCCCTTTTCTAATTGACAGAAATAAAGGCACAGAGAAATTCTGACATTTAGACAGTAAGTTCATTTGTGTACATGGATTAAAGATGTTACAACTCTTGATCACCTGGTAAGAATATATATAAAGTCAATCTTGTAAAATGTTCCTGATTTGGAATAAACAAATAAATGTGTATATGACAACATACTGACATCACCAAACCATTTCAATGATAGCTTATTTATAAAAACAGTTTTAATATTCCTTAACATTAATGATTAACTAATGAATTTTACTTTGCCATGAATGTATTTAAAGAGGAACCAAACAGAATTCAGCTACAGGACTCCACTAACAAGACTGAGCTGGCCATAAACTTTTCAATATCAGCAGTTTTCCCAACACTAGTACAGAAAGCCATGCCACCAGTTTTCAGCTGTGTGCTGTGTGAAAAATAGTACTAAAAGACTAAAGGTCCACAGTTCTTTTCTGTTAAAGTTGATTTGTCACAATATTGTTAATTAGTGAGGGCTTAGGGAAGGCTTACTAGGAATATAATTATAGTGCTGAAAAGCATTAATAATGCTCTTATCCCGAGCCAACATGATGCTATTTACATATTTTACCCTGGCATAGACCAGAAATGGCTCCTAATGCATAATGTGCTGCAGGATCATCAGGAAAAAGACCCAAAATCTCAGAGGGGAAGAACATTTCTGAGTATCTCTGTTTTATTCCAGACAGCAGGGACCCTAATTTGACCAGTAATTACAGTTGTCACCATAAGATTCACCTGTGGTGAGCCACCTTTCATCATGAACTGTTTTTCCATCAGGAGGGAAATGAATTGCTACTCCTGGTACATAATCAGATGCAATCTCATCTTTCTCACATATAGTAGGACAGAAGTGACAGTTGAATTTGTCTGCTGTATGGGAGCAGGTTTCTTTTCACTTTCAGAGCTCTGCACAGGCATCAATCAGTTCTCAATGAATAAGCCATATGATAAGCCCATTGACCCATGTTGTCCTTATCGCCTCTCTCTACTGACCAGAGCAGATTTCCTGCCCTCATTACATTGAAAGGCTGAAATTAGGCTGGGATCAACAGGACCAGAAGTTCTGCTGAGGGCACTAAAGGGTGGGCCTACACTACCAGACCTATGTGATTTATGCTGCTCACTTCAGCAGGTGAAGAAGTGAAAGTGTTTTGACATTAACCACATAGATACCTTTGCAAACACCCTGGAGGAGCCCAGGAACCTCTTCAGGGACTGCATACCTTTATCAACAGTCACTAAGGAATTTGCCAAAGACCACACACCAGGTTGTTAGTAAGGAAGAGGGAGAACCCAAGTGTTTTTGAATCTTTCTATTTCAACATAGTAAATTTCCCATGGTTCTTTCCAAAGAATAAAAACATTTCCAGCTGAATTCTAAAAATCAACACATTTGATTTAATTACAAATAAAATACATTTATCCTCATTTGTCATTTATGACGAAACACCCTAATGTAAATTATCACTGAATTCTAGGCTGCTTGGTGCAAGACAAAAGACAAAGTCAGGAAGTATTTTTTCACTTTGGGTATAATGTGTCAAAAGAAAAATTATGGAGCAAAACTGTCACTTAATTTTACTGAATCAAGTATTACCTGCAATCAAATGTATCTGACATTAAGCCTGCTAGATGGCTTTTGCATGGCCCATTTAATTTTCCAAAAAAAGCCAATGGACACAAGAGGGTGGAGGTTAAACAGTCTGGCTGTAGGAAGTCTGCATTCACAAGATCATTCACTTGGATGCAGAAATACTTGGGAAAAGGTGAGGAGTTCTAGACACTCCAAGGGGAAGGAGGAACTCAGCACATTCATGTATGGAACATAAGCTCTGATTTAGTAAACTTGCATTTTCAAAGTAGCAAACAACTTCCAAGCAATAATTAATAATTTTACAGTGAAAAATAAGTACTTCAAAGTTAGATTAAAACAATGTGTAAGAATAAATGTTTCATTCTCACAATGAAGGAAAAGCTACGTTATTGTCCTACAGGGATCTTTGTCCCAGAGGCCGCGTTTAACTTAACTAAGAAATCATCTTGAAGAGAGGGTTAATTTGGAGATGGCAGTATTTCATATCACCATATTCAGCATGGAGATGCTGATGATACTTCATTACTGTCAGTATTAAAGAGAAGCTGTGAGAAGAGATGGACTAAGAACTCATGGTCACCAGGGAATGCTTAAACAACAGGTGACATTCAGTACCCATAAATGCTGTGTTGTTCAGAAAACAGTTCTGTCTTCATACAGGCTACAATGAACTCTGAGCTGGACATTACAACTGAGGAAGGAGATCTAGAGGAGTTGCCATTTTATTACAGAAATATTAATACAAATAAATAATCTGTCAGAAAGCAAGTCCAATGCTAAGCATGGTTACAAATAGCACAGAGAATCGGAAAACATAATTATGACAACCATTAAAGTCACATTTTGTCTATATCTTGAACAGTAGGCACAACTGTGTTGCATCTAGGTAAAAACACTGCAGAGCTGGAAAAAAAAAAAGCTTAGTATGACAAAGCCAATTAAAAACATGGGACAAATCCTTTAAATGAGACTAAGGGCTCTCTATGGAAAAGAAAAGCAGGGGAAATGATGCCAAATATGTAAAATCACATGGGACATGGAAATATGAACAGGGTATAGTTCCTCACCACTTCTCTCATACAAAAACTAGATAATAGCAAATGAATAGAGCTGGTTCATAAGAGAAAAGGAAGTATTTTTTCATTCAAAGCATAATTAACTGCATAAGACCTTGTGAAAGGAACAAGTAGATGCAAGCAATTTTAATGGATTAAAAAACAAGTCATAAAAAAGTGCTGCTAAATACAAAGACACCACCTCTGGCTTAGAAAGCCTGTAACTAACAAATTGCTGGGACACCAGTTGGGAGAGTGGTCACTAGATCTAGCCTGACTTTTTACATTCCTAGGCATTGCCTTTGGCAATTTGTTATTGCCAAAGGCAGTCTTTGGGCTTTGGTCTAGCACAGCATGGTAGTCCTTACATTTTTGCCTTTATTCCTTCCTTACTACCTCCTTACAGCAGAAATAGTTCACTAACACTGACAGCTCAGGAGATCTTGTCATCCACTTTGTGCACAAAGCTCAGTGAGGACCGTAGGACAAAGAGCTGTTGAGTCACCCAACGAGCTGACCAGCAGCACACAGCAGCACATGGTGAAGGGACTGGAATCTGGAGGGTGGCAATCCTCTGGTTTGGAAGCATTAAAATTTCTTCCCACTGAATAGGTGTGGGGGAGAGGCTCCAGACTCACTGGCTATCTTAGGATTGACCAAAGGTCAAAAAGGAGCACTTCAGAAGTTTCTAGAAGTGACTTGGGTAAATGTGGCTTGGAGGGATGCTACTTATCTCCCTGTAAGAGGTTAGATTTAGTCAGCTGAAACTAGGAGGGGCTTGGGTCTACAGATGAAGAAGCTTTAACATTTAAGTGTTTGAAAGAAAAAAACAGACATTAAAATGTCTCTCTCTACACCTAAAACTAAAATTTCATTTTTTCCAGATAGACTGCACTATCACAACATCTGAACAAGCAAGCATTAAGACATAAGACCATGTGACAACATTAAACACAAAGCAAAGTAGACAAGTGGAAGCCTTAGGAGCTACATCCACCTTGCCTGAGTAGGCTTGTCCTGAGGAGACACTAAAGCCCAGCTGGTTGCTGAGATCCTTTATTGAATTTGGGATGCTCAGAGATTACAGCTGCTTTCTTGAATAGGATTATGTGAGTACTGGCCTGACTGTTCCTACAAGGAAATTGTTGGGTCACAAATATACCTCTAAGTTTCAACTCTAATGTATGTAGAGCCTGTAATGTCCGTGTACCCCAAATTTTCCTCCTCAGTCCTCAGTTTCTCCCCTCCCTGTCAGATTCTATGCTTCAGACTTTAAGTCCTGGGCACTTCATGAATACAGAAAGCTGAGGATTGACAGTTTGGCCTCAAACCCAACCTGGATGGTACTCCCACACTGCAGAGCAATCAGAGTCTTGTAGGACAGGGATGAGAAGAGGCAAACACTGAAAACGTGAAATTTAAAATTATAAGGTTCTTTCTGAAATCTGAAAGCTTTTTCCTCATTTAAAAAGACAGAAGAGTGATTAAAAATAATACAGGAAATTTTCTCTACTGTCTGAGACACTGTACAATGTCACAAGACTTTCATGTTGCTATTCTTTAAGCTGTACTTCCAGTCAAACCTAAATGTAAATGTCTTTTTAATGTATACTGAAAATGCCATGTACTAGCAGAAGCTATTCAACTGCTGTATAAAGCTATACATTTATCCTGCCCTTTGATGTAGCCACAGTAACTACCTGCAATTCAATGGGCTATGAATAAGGAGGAAAAAATGTCCAATATAGCAGCCAGAGATATTCCTTGAATGCCAATCTACTTTATCAATTAATATATTTAACATGCAAATAATGGACTATTTGGAGCCTAACAAATAAAATAAGGGATTTAAATTTTGAAACTGCTTTGCAGCATTTTGAACCTGAAGCCTGCAGTATTTAAAAAACGACCATGCTGTGCCTTGCAGCAGACTATAGTCTTAACACTGAGAGGACAGACTGTTGAAATGAGCATCTACATAATTTTTCACAATACACTGTGCCACAATGCATTTGGTTAAAAACAAACATATGTTTGCAGTGAAACATTTTAACAAATCACAGAACTCGGCAGCAAAGTAGTTAAACATTTATGATTTGATTTTATCTCAGCTTGGAATGTCGCTGGAGTGTCCCACTTCTAACAACTGTTTGCTAAGTTAAGGCTTCAGTGTTTACACAGTGCTGAATGAAGCAGCCTGGTCACCAGATGTGAAAGCTTCCTTAGACTGGAGCTTTCAATCAGATCACGGTCCTAATGGTCCCTGCTCCAACCTTCTTCCTCAGGACGTCCACCAGCCTTTCCAACCTGAGAGGGGGCAGGGGAGAGGGAGAGGAGAGAAAAAAAAAGGAAGCTAATGTTAGGAATGTTCTGGCTGAAAGAGACAGTGTTTGCACTGAACCAAGCTGTCCTGGTGGTGGTCACGCTCAGAAACAAAGCACTACTGTAAAAGAGAGACATTAAGGGGAAATGCAGACAACTTGCGAAAAACTTTTTACCCTACAACCCAACCCATCTGCAGTTAGTGATATATATCAACTCACTTCTCCTTTGCATGGTGTATCCGAGGTGCTTGTAGGGCATTAACACAAAACTCTGTGCAGCAGCCCTGTGGTACAATATACACTTTGGTGTAAGAAGGACAATTAATTTTTACACTTTTAAAAATATGAACTGTCCAGGACTCTTATCAAATGTAGCACTTAACTATTGTTTCCCTTTAAATAATATCTTTCCCATTATCCAACAGATACTTTAACTGTCCATTTTATAAATTTATGTCTAAAAGCTGATGTGTTTTATTTAAAAACGTCCTCAAAATATCCAACAAGCCAAGTTTCTGAGGACATGGATGATGATATTTTGAAGGTGGCCTGCATGATTAATGTGTCAATACTACTACAGAAAAATTAACAATATAAGTAAGTAGGACAGAAAGCTGCCCAATCCTCTTAGCTTTAAGGCACAGGCACTTTAAAGATGTTCAATCTCACTGTCTTAATTAGATTTTTCTTTTCTTAAATTATGTAGAAGAATGCAAAGGACTAAATTTGTTCATCATTTTGTGCCTATACACATTTATCTTCAGTATTCCAGAAATCATGTATTCAAGCTATTTCTTCAATTTGTCTGTGTTTTATGGTATCCTTCAATGAAAACTCTTCCACAAATAAACCATCTGTATAAAAGCAGACACTGTGTGTAGCAGAACACTTTCACAGCCATGTCCAGAATATTATACACACAGCTTCCACAATGGATAAACAGAGCTGCAGGTTCAAATAGCTGTATTCATTGTTACAAAGTTGACCATTTTTTTCTTATCTTGAAAGACAATAAAAAAAATATTATACGACATGAGAAATGCAGATAGGAAATAAAAATAACACAGCTTTATCAAAATTGCAAAATGCATTTTATCTAATGAATGCATTAGTAACTTCAGTGCACGTAAACTAGTCAACACGGATTTATTGCCACAAGTCATGACTAATGTGCTTGGTACGTATTGAAACATTCTTGTTTTCCAGGAACCACCAAGCACGATGAAGCTACACCTTTCATTGTACTCACTAGGTGACTTAATTCCTGAAATGAGATTAAGAATTCACCACCCAAATGTAATCATCAGACAGCAGGAAAAGTATGTGGAAGGTTCAGCTCATTCTTGCTGTTCCACAGGGACTCTGGGGGAATGAATGTACAGGTAAAAAATTGCTAAAACACTGCTCCTCTCCCTTCAGTTTTCCAATAGTTACTTTTCCTTCTTAACCAACTGGAGCATTTACCCCTGGTTTTGTAAAATAACATCTAATGCACTTTGTCTTTATAGAGGCAGCACCCAAAGAGCCATAACTCAGTGCTGTCAGTTCATGCAGGTATAAAGTCAGGGATTTCACAAGTTATTTGCTCCTTTAAGTTTTCTCAGATGAATATATCAATGTCTTCTGAGTTCTAAGGATTTTAACTCAGTTACTGATCAGTCAGTTTTGTCAGCCTCTCTTATTGGGAGGTTTCCCTTTTACATCTGCTGTCAGTCCATGGCAATTAGTCCTCTTTCACTAGCATGTGTATTCAGAAGCACAGCAGCATTCTCAGCCATTTTTACTCTTGCTGGAGGTCTCTTTCACACTAGCACCCTCTCTAATGTACTTCAGAGACATAAAAGCACTGAAGAAACATATCAAACTGTTTGGACAAACTGAAGGTTTGGGTTGAAAATTGTTTTTCTGGGAGACAGCATAAAACCTGTAAAATCTGAGATCATGGCTTATTTAAATCACTGTTCAGTTAAAAAGAAATATTGTGTGGCTTATACAAGGCGGGGGGTGGAGGGGGAGGAATGACTTCAGTAATTGAGGCTCCTTTTGGGGAAACACAAGTAGAATGTCATAGCTTACACACTGTCCTACAACTGGGTTTAGATGTGCACCACTCTGTGACCAAGCAATGGCACTGCACACCAGAGCAGAACAAGTCAGTGAAGAGCTGCCCATGTTTGAAGAGAAATACCACTGGGATGAAAGTAGCTGTCTTCTGTTTAACCTTGAAACTGTCAGGCTTCATTGAAAATAATGAGGCTTAACAATCATAGTTTCTGCTTTTCAAATGAATGATGACTGAAATCATCAAAATGAGGTATTCCTCACCAAATACAAATACACACCATGCAGAGCTTATTTGCCTTTTGTTTCAGTCATATGTGTATTTGCAAATTTATTTATACTTTATCAGAAGGAAAAGAAAGGTAGCAGTGGATTAAGATATTGTATCTTTGAAAGAGATTTAAGCAACAATGCAAAAGAGAAATGGTAGGAGCTATTTATACAATAAAATATCATAGGGCAAAATTTACCCCTACACAGACACAAGACCCAATATACCACTGAAATCCCACTTAAGCCTACAAAATAATGCTATGTGCTGAATCAGTGGTTAATAACTCTTGATACAGGCCTCAGGGGGCTTTTTGGAATGATAATCCTGAACTCTTTGTTCACCAAGGGCCCAACTCTGTCATCCCAAGTCACACTAAGCAACGTTTTCTTTGTGAGTAATAAAAGGTAGCTAAAAAGGCTGTTTGTGCCAGTGAGGTGCTGCCTGTGAGGGGTGAGGGTGGCAGAGCCAGACCCTGTTGATAAAGCTTTCTGCCCAGCCCAGTGGGGCACTGCAGGCAGCTCCATCTGGAGACTGAGCATTTTAATGTGGAAAACTGCAGCAAGAGTTTTATACATCAAGATCAAACGTAACTTAAACAGAAGAATGAAAGGTACTGGGTATTAGTCTCAATGTTTTCAGGATTTTATTCAAAATATGGAAGACATGAAGAAAGCAACTTCTGTTACTTTGTGCAATTTCACCAAATTTTACTTAACTGAAAGCAGCACCCACTACATTTGATTGTATTCCAAGACAAATTCTAACCAATTCTAACAAATGACATTTGTCTTTTTGCTTGTGAACAGTCCTCATAGTATAAGTTAAATGTGCAACATGACACTTTCTCCTGAGATGTAAGCAAGGACACTCACTGAATTTGCATCTCATGAAGCAACTAAATAAATCATTTAAGAAGAAAGTATTTGAGTTCATATTTTAGATCAGACAGAAGAAAGATATGGTGGCTGGGCCATTCTGTGGTAGTGTTGAAGGTCCAAATGTGTAAGGACAGAAACACACCTTTTGGAATGCTTTACAAAGCCTCTTAAGGGCTCACTCCCCACTCTCACAGATTTCAGTTTCTTCCTTAGAAATTTTTTAGAACTGCAGTAGATGACCTTCATTATTCTTTCTTTCTTCAAATACTTCTAGAAAGTCTGTCCCTTAGCAAATAAATTCTCTCAACAAATGCCACATCAGCATTTTTTATACAATTATTATATGCATGCATGCAAATTGAGTACAAAAGGACATATAAAATACAGGAAAAAACTATGGATTCAGATGTATAGGTACAACTTTGGTTTTATTTCTACTGATTTACATATACCCAAAAGTAAAAAGTAAAAATATCCAGTGCTTTTCAAGATAGATTGAATTTGCATTGATGAAAAACACAAAGATGACGGCTAGAAATATTCTTTATCTACACTACATACTTCTGTAATGGTCCCATGAAATGGAAAAAATAAATAAAACACACCATTTAGGAAAGGGATACCCAGTCCATCATTATTTTTAAGTTAACAAAAGACACAATGTTAAGAGTCTTGAATTGCAGTGGCTTAATTCTTTCTCCATACAAATTGGGAATTAAGCAGTTGAATCTGTGTTCTATATAGCAATAAAAAGAATTCCATAAGGGGCTTGCTGCTATGATGTTACAGGTCTAATTATGTCCTTTTAAATATGTTGCTAAGCTTTAAGAATATCCTCATTTTTAGAGGAAAGCTACCTGAACAGGATAATTACTAGGGGAGCCTTCCCCAAGACAAATTCTCAACCATTCTCAAATTTTCTTCCAGTTATTTCAAACTGTGTTCCCTTGTCACCTGTGCACACAGCTATCAATGCCTGGTATGTTGTTATGTGGAGTGTTCTTACACAGATCCTGAATTGCTTGACAATCTGCTCTGAGTTTTAGCAGAGCTTTACTCCTGTGAGTAAAAACAATTTTGGTTTTAGACCTGGTCTCCATAAGGCAGACTTAAAATCCTAACTGACAGAGAAGTTTGCTCAGGGAGTCCCAAAGCTGATCAGACCAGTGCAAGTATAGTACCTACTGCTCTCTACTGCTCACTCCTATGCATGTTTGTGGCTTGCTTCCCTCTTTCACATATTCTACTAAAGAAGTCTAGATTTCACCTGTAGCTTGGGATCAGTAAAAACTCTGCAACTGCGTAAATCCGCACACCCCTTCACACTGCTCCAACTCTGGCCAAAGGAACTCACCCCAAAGACAACAGTGGCCTTTACTCCCAAGTTCTGAATATGACAGTTATACAGTCACAGAGTGAACTCCCTGGGAATCATGCCCCAGAAATACAAAAAATGGACACCCAACTGACAGAAAAGGGCACCCTTCAAGTAGTCTATGTCCTAATCTGCAAAGCAATATACAGACTAGCCAAAAACAATGGTTTCTACCTGCAAATGGAGGAGTTAAGTCATAAAAACAAAATCATCCTGGATTTTGAAACGCTATATAAAGGCTTATAAACCTAAGCTATAGCCCTTGGTTATCTTTCCAGTAGATAAGATTAGGCTCAGGCTATGAAGATGGCCTTACTTGCCTGATTTCTGGCTTCTTGTGGAATGTGTTTTGCTGACACTAATTCCCTTTAGAAACCAAGCTTTTGAAAATATGT